ATTCCTCTTGACCAGCAGTCGATTGGCTTTACTGAAACATTCATCGTGACGCTGTTTCCTTCGATTTCGGCGAAAAGGTGCTAACCTTTCGAATCTCTTCACCAAACACTTTCACTCGAGATGGAAGAAGGCACAACATTTATGAAACAAGAGAGTCCTTGAAACCCAACGTTTCCTCGCATTTGGAATAATTGAAGCAAAAAGGTGTAAATGCAGTTGGGTTGGATGACCTCAGAAGGCCATTGGATTTCATTTGACCTCACCTCGCTGCCCACTTTATTCTCCAGACTGGAAGTCACTTTTACCTCGCCCAAACCTTTTCGCGATTATGTAATCCCAAACTTACCTCGGGTTGAGTTAATGAGCTAAACGGAAATGTTGACCGAGTAAAAAGCTGGTTTAACCCATCACCAAGCCGGCCATGGGAGTCTCCTTTCCTTCATATGCGATTTAACACCCTCTTTCTCACCTCAAATCTATCAATTTGACCTGGCCCAGTTCGCACTCATCTCCCTATCTCTATTTATCGCATTCAACATATTACTCACTCTATTACTTCCATAAGCCTTCTTTATCTTGCACTTAGTAGCAGATGTACCATAATCGCCAGCTCAAGAGCGACAATATTAAACAGTGCGCCTAACCAAAGAAAGCGTCAGGGTTTCTTGGAAAATTAGTCCTATGCTCACCTTCCGTACCAGTTCGGCCGTCTTTCATGAATGAAGCAATTACGGTAAAGTTTGTAAATTAGCAAAGGTCTAAGATTGCCTATCCCGTTGTCAAGAGTATTCTTCTAAACGATGTAAATAGGAAAGGTTTTGCTGAAAAACAGCTTTTTCAGTCTTTTACCTTAACAAACAAGTGATTTCTATCCGCAATCTACATATTCGTCGAAAGCCCAGTTTCACTTCTAATGGCCTTGTAGGCAGCGATTCTCAATTTTTTGCAAAATCTTCTAATGTCCCCGGTCGTAATGGCAACCACAAAATATTGGAGAGAGCAGGTACCGGAACATCTCAAATGGGCAATTAGTCACTCTGCATCACTCTGATTTAATGCTTTATTGAGGAATATTCTCACGATGTTTAGACTAGACCTGGCATTGGCATTAAATTTAAATGACTGGAAATTCATTTAGTTATTTTGTGAGACAATGATAAGTCCACTTAAATGGAATTGTGGAAAACTTAGATTATCAATCTTTAAATCACCTTAGGCGATCAAGTTTCTATTCAAACAAAACTTCGTCTTGCCGGAACTGCAATTTTAAGCATGTGTATTTGAAGAGGCCTTGTGGGCATAGGACGTCGCATCTGCAAAGGTCGGAATCCGGTCAGGAGTACGGAGGGGACGACAAGAGGCCTATAATCCCATTAAGCCGATATTCGAAGTAGTTTTTGAAGCTGAGTAAACTTTTATAACATCCATAAGTCGTCTCAGTTAATTGATGAATAATCAACTATCAGTCTCCGATTTATTCAAGTTCTAGTTACTAAAATTATCCAAGATATTTACTTCTTTTTCGACGTTTTGGTGGCAAGCCTTTGCGTCATTTCGGCCCTACGGTTGCAAGTTCATGCCGTTAAATATCTGGTTTTTCAACTTCCATAAAGTGTTCTCACCCATGTATGAGCGCACTACAGTTTTAATCTATTCTGAACTAGTATCACCAGTATCCCCAGCGGGACTCAAACCTTGGTCGTGATAGTGCAGCGTAAAGTCTTCTTACGTCAAACATTGCGCCACATTGATACGAGTTCTTTTTGGTCACAGATAAAACGTGAATTACAAAATAGGTCAGGCTTTTCTCGTATCACATTCTATGGTGGAATTGTCGATGAGATAAAGGTATATTTGCTATTGCAACAGACTATATTACTTATTTCGTCTTATAAGTAGGTTTACCAGACCACCATACGAGCTATGCTCATCCTATTTCGTTTAATTAGATGAAGGACTGATAGTTGCATTTTTACTCAATCATGTGAGTAGGTTTCGTCCTATGATTGTGAGGAAATTTACCTACCAATCCTCCATTACCTTAAGCAAAATAGGGCGAATATTTCTGATAGACAACATTACTTGTTTTCCGTTTGACTACGTTTCGAGACTTCAATGGATCGTAAAAGATCCGAGTCACATAACTTCTTATTCAAGGCCCGCTAATAGCCGTGAAGCTTATTCACACAGAACATCGCAAGACTCACCCAGTTGACCTTCTTCTCCGCCAGCGCTTTCAGACTGGCTTGAAGCTTTTCACCTTCGCCGCCGACCCGACCAAACTCCTCGACGAGCAGTCGGGTTCGCTCGAAATCTTTGGCCGTGACGTTCGGCGCGACCAGTCTGAGGTAGCGGTTCAGCGTGACGCGTAGATCGGGCACCGGAAGACGTGGGAGAGGACGCTGTTATTGAGAGGACAGGAGGGGAAGGGAAGGTAAAGGAAACGGAATAGAGAATAAACCGGCAAAAGCCAAGGGCTGCTGAAAATCATCAATTACCAATCGACTATTCTCATTGGGATCAGTGGCATACAAGAGAATGAGTACTTTAATTATAGTAGGACTGTTGAAAATATACAGTTTTACATAAGTTGTCAAACATGAAGGCAAAATGCACAGTTTCATGCCAAAATTCAGGGTTATAGATTACTCACGGAAAGATCCCAATCTGGATACTGCTCCAGGTCATGAGAGGAGATCCGGCGCACAAACTCCTTAACCCTCGACATCCCAATAGTTCTCGCTCTTTTTCTAAAAAAAAATTTAGGTAAAACAAAGTATCTTGTTAGAAACAGGAACAATCCTACATAACGTTCACCTGATTTGCGAGTGCCAGTTGAGGCCAGAGAGCATGTGCAAGTGACAACAACAACACCAACAACAAAGTGAGTGCAGGGTATAAAATGGTGTCACGTAGTGGATACGACTCGACTTTTCATTTCAACGGAAACGGTGGCCTCAATACAACCCAAAGAGGGCCAATCTTGAGATTTTTAAGAATAACCTTCTCGCGAATTGTCCCTTGCAAATGAAATTGGAGTAAGAGTAACTTATAGAGTACTGCTTCGAAACCCATCTTTTCTTCATAAATCACGAAATAATTGTTTCCCTTTGTATAGAAGAAGTGCTTTCTTTACTCAACTTTGGGCTTGGCTTGCGAAAGTAGAGGAAATCTGCTGCCTTGGAACAATTGCGATTCTCATATCCCATCCCTTTCGGTATGGTATGAAGCCTACCTCGAAGTTTGCTGAAGTGTCCCGTCCAGCCTGCATGACCTTTGCCTCCCTCCCATTAAGGATCAAGAGGGAGCACACATCACTGACGTGAGTGGGCAGTTAGGAGTAATATTCTGGAATAGGAGAAACTTTTTCGGGCAGATGGGGGAATGACTATGAAAGATGCCTCTTGAGACCGAAGAAAATTGTTGCAATAGACTGGACAGGTTACAACTATTCTCAATTAAGTATTGTTTCGAGACTACCAGTACATCAGTAATATGAGATGTATTCACCCAATTTCGTTTAAGGTGATGAATGAATGGGAAAGCAAGGCTATGTGAAATTCAACGGAAACGTCAGCTTTACTCATATCATTGTGGGGAAATTCTCAAGTCTAGCCTTCAGTGTCAGTTTGCCTCATCGCATAAATCGCCGAATGAGACAATTGTCAGTTGTATGCGATGTATTCAGCCTATTTCGCCTAACGTGATGAAGGAATGGTAGTTAAATTTTCCCACACACAGAGTTTCTACTCAATTTCACATACTCCTGCTTCCCAAAAGTTATCCTCGTTCCGGCCTGTGTAGACTGCAGTTTTGAGCTTGCCTGAACTGGCCTCATCACCATCCCCAACGGGACTCGAACCTGGTTGTGGCTGTACAGAGTACAGCCTCGGCACTGACCATTTCACTCCTGCAGTGTCACCCAAGGACGGTCGTGTTACTACGACATAGGCGTCAACGTGTCAAGACTACACGCTGCACCACTAAAACCTAATTCGTGTCCCGCTGGGAGTGCCGATGAGGCCACCTTTTGAGAAGCAGCACTCTATGAAATTCAATGGAGACGTGAGGCCTGGCCATATGATCGTGGGAAATTCAACAGACAGTATTTACTCGCCTTATAAGAAATAGTGTGAATGCAACTAGCATGTCAGATCTAGTGAAAGTCTCGAAAACCCACTTATACAAGGAAAATAAACT